TTTTTCTCTAAGAACCTTTAAAAAATTTTTTTTTAGCATTAACCTTGGACAGTCTAGTGACTATGCACCTTGATAATGTTCATTTTGTGTAGTATCTCCAAGGTGTTCTCTAGATTTCTTCTATCCAGAGGTCTACCTCTACCAAGAATAGAGAAATCTTGAATTTTTTGCTCAAATATGCTTTCCACCTTTTTCATTTATTCACCTTCTCTCTTAGAAATGTCAATAATTCATTCATTTGGTCACTTTACATAATCCCATACTTCTCTCTTTTTTTTTTTTTTTTTAAATTTGAGACAGACTGTTGCCTAGGCTGGAGTGCAATATGCAAGCATGGCTCATTGCAGTCTCAGCCTCTTGGTCTTAATCCTCTTGCCTCAGCCTCCTGAGTAGCTGAGACCACAGGCACACACCACCACACCCAGCTAATTTTTATTTTTATTTTTTGTAGAGGCAGGGTCTCAGTTTGTTGCCCATGCTGAATTCCATATTTCTTGAATACTTTGTTCATTTAAAAATTACTCTCATCTGACTGCATTAGTTCAAAAGACCAATGTTTAGATTGAAATTCTTTCTTCAGCTTAGGTCAGTCTATTGATAAAGCTTTCAATTGTATCTTGAAATTTCTTTTTTTTTTTTAAACTGATCACATCAAAGATTTTAGTGCTAGTATCTTGAAATTTCTTGTTAGTTTTCCAATTCCAAAATGTCTGATTGATTTCTTTGTAAATGTTTATCTCTTTTTTCATTTCCTGAATTAATTAGAGGTTTCTTTGTGTTGATTTCAACTTTGTCTTGGATCTTGTTGAACTTCCTTGCAGTCCATGCTTTGAATCTTTTATCTGTCATATCTGAGTTGCACTTTAGTTAGGGATGCTTGCTGGAGCACAAGTGTGAGCCTTTGGTGGTGTCACTACATTAAGATTTTTTTATGGTGCCAGAATTCTTGCACTGGCTCCTTCTTATCTAGAGACGCTAACACTTTTAATTTTTGTAGTTATTTTCATGTGGGCGGGAAATTTTTCTTTTTCTTTTTTTTTTTTTTGTGTTCCCAATAATGTTACTTTTTTTTCTTTTCCCACATTTTCTCCCCTTTTAATTAGACATTGTTATTGTATCTGTTTTTTTCCCCTCCATTATGTAGCAGGTTTCTGAGAGCAAATAACTTCTGTTTTGTTTGCTCATGGTAAGAACAAGGAATGCCATATCCGGTTAGCTTTATATTCTATTTATTTCTAACTTTCTAACTTTGTTTGGATATAGGGAGAACAAGCTCAGATTTCTTACCTACTCATGTTGTGTAGTGGTGGAATCTGGGCTTTTAGTGTATCCATCATCCAAATAGTGAACATTGTACCCAATAGATAATTTTTAAATCTTATATCCTGACCACCTTCCCACCTTCAGTGGTCACCAATGTGTATTAGTCCACTCTGTGTGTCCATGTATACCCATTGTTTAGCTCCCACTTACAAGTGAGAACATGTAGTATTTGACTTTCTGTTTCTGAATTATTTTCATTTAGGATAATAGTTTCCAGTTTAATCCATGTTGCTGCAAAACACATTTCGTTTTTTATGACTGAGTAATATTCCATTGTGTGTGTATATACCACATTTTCTTCATTCAGTCTTCCACTGATGGACACTTAGGTTGATTCTACGTCTTTACTATGTAAATAGTACTGTATAAACATACTAATGCAGGTATCTTTTAGATGCCTACCTGAATGCATATCTAGGCTTGAAGAGGATTCCAGGCACTCTTTAGACAGTATATCAGTCATGGTTTTTCAGAGAAACAGAACCAATAAGATATATATGTATGTGTATATATATATATATGTGTGTGTGTGTGTGTGTGTGTGTGTGTATATATATACATATGCATACACAAACACATACATATATGTAACACATATATAAATATAAAATAAATTACATATAAAAATATATATAAATTGTGAGAAATTGGATTATATAATTGGGGACCATCATGTATAAAACATTAAGGCAGGTCAGCAACAAGTTCGAGTCAGAGAGGAGTTAAAGCTGCAGTTTTGAGGCAGAATTTCCTATTTTCCAGGAAGTCTCAGAGTTTTTGCTCTTAAGACCTTCAACTGATGAGATGGGATCCCACCCACATTTTCAAAGGTAGATGCTGATGCATCTACAACTGATTTTTGTAGATGTCAACCACGTCTACAAAGTTCCTTCATGACAACATCTGAATTAGTGTTTGACTAAATAACTAGTCACTACAGTTTAGCCAAGTTTACACATGAAACTCCCCATCACAGGCAGTTTGGGTCAGGTGTTGTTTTTGAGCTATTGCTTCTTGTGAGAGGTATAGGTTGTTTCACATGCAGGCAAGAGCTTGAGCCTGTGTTTGGTGATCACAAAAGCAGACTTTGGTAGACACCAAATATTTCCAACAAATAATTCGATTTCTCTATGCGTATGATAGTGTCGTACCTGAGCGAGTTAGAGAAAGCACCACACTTTGAGTTTCAAATTAAGAGTCCTTTATTTGTCAGTGACCAAGAGACGGCTCACGCTCAAAATTCTCTCGGCCCCAAAGAAGGGGCTTTGTGTCTTTTTATACCTTGCTTAAAGGAGGGGAGGGGGAGCCTAGCTAAAACAGGTTTTACAGAAACAGGGCAAGTAAAACAAATCAAAAGGATAAACTATTACAGGAAGGTAAACAGCTGTAAAGCTTTTGGTTATCAGCAGTCACATTCCAAGGGGTGGCTGGTTACAGCTTAACTCAGTATCTTATTAGTAAGGACATTCCTGGGTTTGCTTGGAGTTAGCTTACCCTAGCTGTGTGCTCGGGGGAAGGGGGAGAAAGGGGGAGAAGTGAAGAAGCTAAATGAACTCTGCCCTGCTCAAGAAGCTAACATGGAGTCTGCACTTCTCTCAGCTAAGAAGGAGAGAGTCAGTTAGGATAGCAAGGATAGGTTATCGCAATGGGATTGCACTTTCCTTTCCTGCCGCCTTTGAACTTAGGTTTGACCATATCCCTTGCTTTGGCCTATGAAATGTACGCAGAAATAATGTGTCTCATTTTTGGGTAGAACCCTTCAGAATCAGTGCGCAATTCACCTGCTTTTAGTTTTCCCCTTTGCCGTGGTGTCAAGCTATATTTGAAACACTCCCAGAATTGGGAGACATGGAATAGAGTCTCTATCTGAACCGCAAAGGCCATTAAACGTAAGCGAGAAATTATCATTGTCATTTTAAGACACCGAGATTTTTGGGGTCATTACTGCAGGATAACACAGACTATCCTGATTAATACACCTTCCATAATGACTTTCCATAGCCTCCCATTAGCTTTAGGAAATGATCTGATATCCTTGATGTGACTTTCAAGGCTTTATATGATTTGTTTCCAAGGTAAGTACTATACAGATAAATATAAAATATAAAAGGCAATGCAAATAAAATTTGTTTGTTTTAAACTCTTTTTTTCCCTCCTGTCTTATTTAAAAAACAACAGCACAAAGCATTCATTGGTGTTACCAGTGAAGGGTTTCCAAGTTCTTGGCATCTTGAACAAAGAATTGGACAAAATGCGCAAAGAAAGGAAGGAAAGAATGAAGCAACAAAAGCAGAGATTAATTGAAAATGAAAGTATGCTTTACAGGGTGGGAGCAGCCCCTAGTATAGGGGTTCAAGTGTCTCCTTACAGAATTTTCTGGGGTTTAAATACCCTTTAGAGGTTTCCATTGGCTTCTTGGTGTATGCCCTATGTAAATGAGGAAAATGAACTTAAGTTACACAGTTATTTACTTGGTGTATGCCCTACGTAAGTGAGGAGAATATTTCCTGTCATCGCTCAAGTGTCTCCCTTTGATTTAGTCTTAGGAAGTCACCATGAATCAGCCTTATGTTTCCTGCCACCAGACCCTATTCTCCTGCCTCATTGGAATTCATCAGACACAAGATGACCCATGTAGAACAGAGAGGAGCAAAACAGGACAACTGCCCACTCAGGAGTGACACAGAGCCAGGGAAACTCCCTCTCCTAGGGAAATTGTGAGTGAGTAGAAAATTCTAGGGACCCACACTTTTTCCTAGACCTTGGCAACCCTGGGGCCAGGAGATCCCCTCATGAATCTCTTCTACCAGAGCCTTCAGTCTGACATGCAGAGCTATGTGGAGTCTTCGCAAAGCTGCTGCTCAGACATTCCTGCAGAGTCCTGGGAGCCTTGGGTCCCCGGATAGCCAAGCAATAGGGGCTGAAGCTCCAGCAAAGGAGGAAATTAGCCTTTTTAACATACCCCCAGGAAAGAGGCTGAGTTCAGGGAGCTGAGCAGCTGCAGCTTTCAAGCCTTGCTTTCACAGCACTTCACAGGATAAGACTCACTGGTCTGGGATTCCAGCTGCCTACCACCAGTGTCCTGAGGCCAACACCAGCTCTACACCTTCTTGAGACGAAGCTCCCAAAGGGAGGGACAGGCTGCAGTGTTTGCTCTTTCCTGGACTTTGCTGCTGGTGCCTTTGGGTTCTAAGGAGTCCGAGGTAACTGAGAGCAGCACAGTTAAAAAAAAAAAAGGAATAGTCCTAATCTGTTGCAACCTGAAAGATTATCTCTCCTGTTCCCCACCAACTGATTCTTGTATGAGACTATTAAATAAACTTTGTAGAATTCAGGCATTCTGAAGTAATGCTATAATTGGAATGTTTGTGTCTCCTCCAAAATTCATGTTGAAACTTAATTCTCAATGCAACAGTATTAAGAGATAGAGTCTTTAGGAGGTAATTATGTCATGAGGACTCTACCCTTATGGATGGGATTAGTTCCTGAAGGAAAAAGGACTGGAGGAAATTAGCTGGTCCCCTTTTTGCTCTTCTGTCTTTCTGTCTTGTGAGGACACAGTGTTCATCCCCTACAAAGAACACAGCAATGTGTACCACCTTGCAGGCAGGGACTGGATTCTCACCAGACATCAAACCTGCTGGCACTTTGGTTTTAGACTTCTAGCCTCCAGACTATGATAAATAAATTTTTAATTATTTTATAATTATTTCAAATCAATAATTAAGTTCAGACACTGTTATTTATAAATTACCCAGTCTCAGGTCTTTGGTTACAGCAGGACAAACTAAGATGAGTAATGTGCTGAGGATAATTGGACATGCAGGAATTCATGCTGTCTCTTCTCTCCTCAACTCCTCTCTCTCCTCAATAAATATTCCAATCCCTGGGTCAAGGTGCTCCCACCTTCCTGTTTTCATACACTCATTCCTTTTATGCTGTCACCATGATGAACCACTTGACTTGAGCAAACACAATCAAAATTATATACAGTCAAACACAAAACTTTCTTTATTGTTTAGGAGTTGTGGTGGATTTTGGAAGCTCATCCTTAGAAACAACACTGGATCTTTTTTCCTGGAGTAGGAGCTGTTATAGGATAGGATATCATCAGTTGGTATTTCTTCTAATAACATTCCCTGCTATATCATATATATTGTATTTAGCCTAATATCCCATATATATTTGTGACTAGTATATTTAATGTACCTATAAAGTAGCAGTAACAGGAGAGGATAATCTCTAAAGACTATTGAGGAGAGGCCACCTGTTGATCGTAACGGAAAGGCTTTAGAAATGGAAAGAAGTAAGTCATCGTGCTCAGAAAATATTATTCACTTCTTCCTAGCTCCCAGAAAAACTGGCAAGGGTCTTGAAACTGAGGAACTAGGGATTCAAGGAGAAGTAATTTGGAGCAATATGTATCAGATGAAGTGTCATCGAGGCCCTGGAAGTGTGGGGAGCTACATTACACAGGTCCAATGTAAGAGGACCTGGGCCTGCTTCCTACTGAGAACCTGTGAGTGCAGGGACCACGGTGATCCTGTAGACCATTACACTGCTTCCCCAGAGCCCAAACAGTGCCTACTCCTTTTCTGCTGATTACAGTCTATTCTTTCTTTTCACCCAGTATTCACTCCTCCAGTTATATTCCCAGGGCTGCCCAACGCTGTTTTATGTTCAGGGCTGGCATCACAGAGGCACACAGTTCCACTGGTTCCAGCTTCTGGGAATGGGAATATGCTGCAGGTTGTAACTCATTCTTTGCATAGCTTCGTTTCTGTAGTCTACGTGAGAATAGATGGGAAAGCCAAGTTTGATCAAGTTCTGGCACTGGGAATAGATGACATAAGTCACAAAGCCCTGCTGCCGGTATTCAGGCAAGGTTCCTGCCATTCTCATCTCTCCAGTGTGGTCCATTAGACTCCAGCACACAGGGGTCCCCTCAGGCCCCAGGAGACAGGAGCTGGGAAAGGTCTGAATGCAGCGCTCAATGAATCTCTGGCTCCTCTCATTACCACCAAAATACCAGAATTTATTCACCAAGTCAGCATGGGTAACATCCATGGATGAGAGTTTAAACATCTCTTGGTTGCTATGGAGGGTCCAAGAAGAAAACCAAATATTAATATAAAGGTTTGTATTTGTTCTGACCTCTATGGTCTTGAGAGACAGAGTAGACAGAAGAAATAATGAATGTGAAGTCCTGGAATACACATGAGCTTGTGATGAAAGAGTCACAGAGTGAAGGTCGAAGTTGTTGGAGGAAGAAAGCAGGCAGGGCAAGAAAGGTCCAAGTGGTAGCCAGAAGTCTGATTTATTCTAGATGAGAAGGGAGATGGCGGAGCCTTTTAAACAGGAGAGAAACATGTTTTGAGTTACACTTTTAAAAATCATAATTCTGATTTCTTTTTACAACATTGATTTTAGGAAGGCCAGGGTGAACGCAGGAAAAGAAGTTGGGAGGTTACTTGAGAGGTGTGACTGGTATAGAGTGGATTTCATCAAACTCACATGGTCTTGGTTTTGACACCACTGGGCGATATATTCTTTGATTCCAGCAGGAAAGGAGCCAGATTCTTGGCTATTTCAAACGGCATATAGAGGATGCATTGTGTTTGTTTGACTTTGAAGGCCTTAATGGCTGCAAGATTTTGTATAGCCTCATTCAGGCTAGGCTGTGAACCTAGATGGCATTATAAAGAGAGATGTAATGGTTTAGGTACATTCTAGAGAGAAGTTCTGCAGTGGGAGAAAGAAGTGTCTGGGATTTAGTATCATAAAGTCTTGATTCTGGGCTTGGTGTTGCCACTGTGTGACCCATGTCACATAGTGAAGATTCGTGTAATTTTTCCTGTTTTACCTGAGTGAAAACATGCTTAGGGATGGATTCAGTAACTATCGTGTTATTAACAGCTGTATCTGCACTGGAACAAAGTTTTCTAGGCTGCATAATCACTAGTTTTGATAATCCAAGTAGATAAATTAAAAAAAAATTTTAGCTAACATCTACTAAGCTATGTTCCTAGTATAATAATATGAGGCAATAACCCACAATTTGCCCATATCTCCTGGTATCCATTCCCTAGGATAGTCCCCTCCACTGCAACTTACCTTGGCCACATTGACTTGCTTTCATCAATGGAAAGAGCAAATTTAATGCAAGGAGAAGCTTAAAAGTACCTGCCCCATTGGGACTTTCCCTTTGTTTTTACTCCTGGTTAAGACCAATGACATTAAAACCAATGCCATAAAGATAGGCCTGGGCTAGCCTGCTAGATACACATATTGCCATCAGGGTGTCACCACAGTCACCAGTTGGCATGAACTGACAGCCTGTCATTCATGCATGTGAGTGAGGCCATGTCAGAGCAACCAGCCATGGTCTACCCATCAACTACAGCTAGATGAGTAAACCCAGATGAGATCAGCAGAATAACTGCCTTGCAAAGCTCAGCCCAAATGGTTGAGTCACAGAATTATTAGGTTTGCTATGCAGCAAACAGTAACTAACACATCCAAGTATTACACTAAGCACTTCCTAGTCAAACTTTCATTTATTATTTTCAGTGTCTTGTGTTTTAGGTAACATTTTCCTCATTTTTATATATGAGGAACATGAGCTTAGAGAGGTTAAATCACTTGGCTAAGATGACATAGCATGTTAATAGGCAAATGCCGTCTTAGGGAATCTCCAGAGAGCGTAGTTGGAACCATGACAGTTGTTCTTGGTGACCTGGGAAGTGTTCTATGGCCAAATAAGCTTTAATTTTTATTCCAGGAATAGAAAGCCAGAGGAGAGGTTCTTCTCTGGTATCCAAATACCCTAAAAGTTCTGGATATAGCTGCAAAATATGTCATAAATCCTTGGTACAAAGGAATTATATTATGGTTCGCTTTATGAAGGCCATTCTTTGCAAATTTTCCCCACACTGTCCGCTTTTACAGATGCAGTTACAGCTCAGTAACCAAATTGACCGCAGGTTGAGAGTCTAGAGCTTGGAGGAAGGACATATACGTCCAATGAAAACTTGCTCAGGACACATAAGTGAGTCAGCACACATCCCATTCCTCTTACTTACTTTGAATCTGTAAATGCTGCTTCCAGTTGATGAGTTCTGGTGATCCAAGGAATTCCTGACAGTTTTGGGGGTCTTTGGAGTAGATTTGGTAACTATTGGTATAGTGATCAAGGTCATCTGTCATATCCTGTTATCATTAGGAAAATGGAAATGCAACACATCTTTATATTTTATGATGACATAAAATTTAATACTGTGACATTTCTAAGTAATAAAATATTGGTACTTTTATTGGTGCATCACAATTATTTTTTATTGATGCATTATATTTGTAAAAATGTATGGGGTATGTGTAATATTTTGTTATGTGCATAGAATGTTTAATGATAAAGTCATGGTCTTCATCACCTGAAGTATTTATTATTTCCATGTGTCGAGAACATGTCACGTCCTCCTTCAATCTACTTTGAAATATACAGTACATTGCTGTTAACTATAGTCACCCTATGTCAAACATTAGAACTTATTTACTTAATCTGAATGTGTGTTTGTATGCATATAATTATTTTGGAATTATTTAAATAATAAGATAAAGATCAAGATTCAACTATTCAATTTGTGTTGGAAAATTCCAGAACAATACTATTCTCTATCCATATATCACATTAAAATTTCAAATCAAAGACATAACCATTTAGAAAGCATTCTTCTTACCACCATCATCCTCAACAGGAAGAAAAGAAAAGCGATTGACAAGGGAAAGCTTATGTTGCAAGAATAAATTTTACTACAGTTCAAATACTTGTACAATACACAAACTGTGACCATGACAGTACGAAACTTGATGCTGATACCAAAGAAGATTAAAAACCAATTCGAAATGCTTTCTTTAAAAAAATACATTGGTTAAACCGATTGTAGTGTCAGAGAAAAAAATAATCCACTTATTCCGAAAGAGAGCCTCAAATTTGTAAATATCAGATGCAATTATTTACAGGAAGAAGGCAGTTGAAAATATTACCGCAACTACTATAGAATTTAAATACTTTTTAAAAAGTTGGAAAATGTTGCACAAAAAACTACACTCACAAGTCAGCAATGATACCACTGACATATTCTGTTGTAAAGACCACATTTAAAAGATCAAATAATTTTATTTCAGTTTAGTTTTTACTACCATAAATTTCTTCATTTTCTATATTGTTTATTTTTTAATTGGCAAATACAAAATTATGTATATTTATCAACAATATGTTGTATGAAATATGTATACATTTGAAATGGCTAAATCAGGATAATTAGCATATGCATTACTTCACATATGTTGAATCTGGAGGACCCTGTACTAAGTGAAATAAGCCAAACACAGAAAGACAGATACCTCATGATCTCCCTTGTATGTAGAATGTAAAAAAATTGAACTCATAGAAGTAGAGAGTAGAATGGTAGTTATCAGCAGGTAAGGTGGGGGAGAGTGAAGGAATTAGGGGATGTTAAAGATACAAAATTCCAATTATGATAGTTATAATAGGAGAAATAAGTTCAAGAGAAGTATTGTACAACTTGGTGACTATAGTAACAATGTATTATATTCTTGAAAATTGCTAAGAGAGTAGATTTTAAATGTTCTCACCACAAAAATGGTAAGTATATATTGTTTAGTGATTTTTAAATAACTATTAGTATTAAAATTGTGTTTTATGATGTTTGAAATAAGCTTATGCATTTTTATCTTGAAATGTGTTAATTGTTTAGTTTCACTAATTTTTAAGTGTTTCCTCAAATGTATATAGAAGTTCTAGCATTGTAATTTTTCTCTTCATAGTTGATATGGTTTGACTGTGTCCTCACCCAAATCTCACCTTGAATTGTAGTTCCCATTATCCCCACATGTAATGGGAGAGAACAGATGGAGATTAAATCACGGGGGTGGTTTCACCCACTCTGTTCTTGTGATAGTAAGTGTTCGTGAAATCTGATGGTTTTATAATGGGCTTCCCTCTTTGCTCTGCTGTCGTGCTTTCTCCCACCACTATGTGAAGAAAGATGTGTTTGCTTCCCCTTCTGCCAGGACTGTAAGTTTCCTGAGGCCTCCCCAGTCATGCTGAAGTGTGAGTCAATTAAATCTCTTTTGTTTATAAATTACTCTGTCTCAGATATATCTTTATTAGTGCATGAGAATAGATTAATACAATAGTCACTCCAACTCATAGCCTTTTTTACAAATTCATATCTGTGCCCTCAATATTTTCTCTGTTTAGACTGTCCACTTTTCCTTGTAATCCTGATGAAACATGTTTTCCTACAAAATCCAGTTCAGATGAAATCTCCACCAAGAAGTGTATTGAACTTATCTGGTAGCCCCATCTTTGACTTCCATAGTTTAATCTGGTTATACTTGGCTTATCTCTGTATCCTGTTTATCTTCTGTTCTTGTATACTTCATACTGAATTTTAATTTATCTGTTTATCTATCTTGTCTTCCAGATTCTGAACTTCTTGGGGACGAGGACTTGTTGACTATCACTATGATTTACTTCCGCATGCCCTGGTTCTACCATATTGCTAATAATGTAATAGACACATGGCTAATATAAATATAGAAGAATATTCACACATGGAACCTTACCTGCTCCCGAGGGCAGACAACCACTGTATTAAAATCAGGCCACTTGTCCACCAGAGCCTTTAGATTGAACGGATTTCCACGGTTCATATGGAAGACAGTTCCATAAACCTGCAGGATCCCAAGAAATTGAAAGGGTTGGTTTATTGAAAAAGGACAGCAGAGTTTCTTGCTTGACTAGGACAATAATTATTTTTATAAAATCATGACATTTTATGATAGAAAAGAGCCAGAGAATCTAGGTCAAACAATCTTCATTTATTTTCACTTCAAATGACAAAAGATTTTCCTTCTCATCAAATATAAATCATATATGCATATAGCAAAATATTCAAACAAATAAAATTATTTTAAGAACAACATTCTTTATTATAAGATTTACTGTCCTCTCTTTCCAGACTTTCTTTTATCTGTACACAAAGAGACCTGTTCCCAATGGCGTGTATTAAAGTCAGGCCACTTGTCCACCAGAGCCTTTAGATTAAACAGATTTTTGTTCAATAATAAAATTATTGGGCTGGGCGCGGTGGCTCAAGCCTGTAATCCCAGCCCTTTGGGAGGCCAAGGCGGGTGGATCACGAGGTCAAGAGATTGAGACCATCCTGGTCAACATGGTGAAACCACATCTCTACTAAAAATACCAAAAATTAGCTGGGCATGGTGGCACGTGCCTATAATCCCAGCTACTCAGGAGGCCGAGGCAGGAGAATTGTCTGAACCCAGGAGGTGGAAGTTGTGGTGAGCCAAGATCATGCCATTGCACTCCAGCCTGGGTAACAAGAGGGAAACTCCATCTCAAAATAAATAAATAAATAAATAATAATAATCAAATTACTGATATTTGCTATTTTTCATCACTGAACATATTATGTACCTATTTCTCTATTCAAAAACAAACAAAATAATTCTCAATTATATTTAATGGCTGAATAAAAATTCATTATCTGAATGCATCACAGTTCATTTATTCACTTGCCAGTTGATGGCATTTCATCTGTTTTCAACTTTTTACTTAAATAATTATTTATAGAATGTTCTTGCACAGGAATCTTTGCATGGGTACCTAACATTTTCTTAGAATAATCAGAAGAGAAATTGTTTGTTTCAAGGCTATCTACATGTTTAAAACTCTTTAGCATTGTTTTCATATACTGGAGAGGTTAACTGAATTCTCATCAGCCAGCAGAGACTATTCCCTATTGCTCAAGAGTGAGCTTGGGGTCCCCTAGCCTGGGTCCAATCTTAAGATCTTCAGCGCTGCCATGTTGGACAAACTAATGAGTGAGAAGGGTGAAAAAGAGATTAGAAGTGGAGAATGAGTGAGAGCAAACCCCACAGGCAGTAAGTGTCCTTACGATTTTAGGGTTGTGGTATGCAGTAGTGGATGTCAGCATAGATCTCATGACCATTGTGAACATAAAGCCTCAACTGATACCAGCATGAAAATACCCCAAAAAGGTGCTGTGCACTTGAATAGTTTCCATCAAGGATAGACAATAGAACTATACCAGTATGCTTTCCTCCTGCTGCCCGCTACTCCACATAAAATACCAATGTTAGACTAGGGAAAGAAGGAAAAAAACTCTAAGTTGACTGAGTCTGAGTTTATCTGAATTTATTCTGTTTTCAGCCATGAGTGGAGGCTTAATATAGAAATTCAGTACAGTTTAGGCAAAATATAGAGGATACCTTTTTACACATTTGTGCCTGGAGCCTGTTAAAATGTATTTACACTGCAATATTATCCATTGAAACATATGAAAATATGTGAAACTTATTTTTTTCTTATTGTCATCGCCTAATTTGTTAAAACTCCTTCTTTTCCTACTGAACTCAAAACCTAAGTGTGAACAATTTATCCAATTGTATGCTGTTACAAATTAAAACAGATTCTCATTGCACTTATGCAAGTAAGTGTATTGCCGTAAGTTAAGAATACTTACAGTTTATGAATTCTGGAGAAATCAGGTAGGGAGAGACAAACGTGCTCAAAATTTTGTTCATAGGAGTATACTAAATTGTTAAAAGCTATCAATATTTCAAAAGAAAAGTTTTAAGACTTCAAAAAACAAAGGATCAGCAAATATTTTAAGTAAAAAGTTAAAAAGATTCGGTCAGTCCATGTTGTTAATTCCTGTTCTGCTTGAAACTCATTAACATTTTAGCTCTCTGAGTCCTGAAAGTTTTTCCTCTATTCTAATGTCACAATTTCCAAGTTATCAGAAACCCGCATTTAAGATAACCTGTTGGAGTAGTTTTATAGCTGATTATAAAACCACCTTCTAAAAACGACCAAAACAAGGCAACAATTTTCCATGGATGAACAATGTTTTAAGCCAGCCATAGTCAAAAGACACAATTGACAAGGAAATTTATTACTTCTGTGGCATACAATATGATTATTACTGATAAGTACACTCAATTATATTAAATTATAGGAGTTTCCCATAATTTTGGAACACACACCAATACATATTTATGGAAATAAAACCCAAAGGAAACAACACACCTTCATATTTGGCAATGCCTTCTGTTTAATGTTTTTACCAAATAAGCCAAATTGTGTCATTTTTGGACTTAGGGGAACCTACTATCTTAAAGAATTAACTAGGTTAGAAAAAGATTTAATTTATAATTCAATTTTGGAAAGTTTGTCAGACATAAAAGGTTTTAAATACTTGATATTACAAAATAGGATTACAGGTAATCATAAAGCCATTTATTTAACTGAAGTGGAAGTCAAAGACTTCCAAAAAAGTGAAAACCTTCATTCTTTGAGAGAAGAAACTTAATTTTCTAAACAAGAAGCCCTAATAAAAACAGCACGAAGCCAGTTACATTTGTTATTTTAAAATTTATAAACAACCTATAACATTTAATCGATTATAACATATAACTTCCTAAAGCCTCTTATAACCTTTATTAAGGAGTTGGTTAATGCTTCAAGAAAACCTTGTAAATCTGACACAGGGGTCCGTATACTGGTTTTGCATCAGTGTGCCTTTGACATTAATGATTACTTTATAGAGAAACTAAACTCATTTTATCTTACAAAATCAGCCCTTACACTCTTACATGCTCAACTCTTTGGAGATAGTCCCTGGGCCTTGAGGAGTTGAATAGCTTGAATTTCTTGCCCTATGTCTCAGGAATGCAGTTTATTTTGATTGGCATCTACAGGGCCTGAAGATGAAGCTTTAATTGCTGTCACTATTTAAAATTCAGCAGGACTTGGCTGTTCTTTTTAGACCCAGGAGTTAAAGCCTTGTGATTCAATGTTACAAGGACTTTAAAAGCATATACAGGAAGATACATGGAGGTAATTACCTTAACTTAAAAATTTTTATCTCAGTTTTTTCCCTAAGCTAACGAAAACTTAATTATATATATATATATTTTTTAATTGCACTTTAGGTTCTGGGGTACATGTGAAGAACATGCAGGATTGTTGCAACATGGCAATGTGGTTTGCTGCCTCCATCCCCATTAAATATATCTGGCATTTCACCCCATGTTATCCCCACCCAACTTCCTATCTTCCACTGTCCCTCCCCTAGTGCCCCCCAACAGACCTCAGTGTGTGATGCTTCCCTCCCTATGTCCATGGGTTCTCATTGTTCAACACCCATCTGTGAGTGAGAACATGCGGTGTTTGATTTTCTTTTCTTGTGTCAGTTTGCTGAGAATGTTGGTTTCCAGGTCCATCCATGTCCCTACAAAGGACACGAACTCATCGTTTTTTATGGCTGCATAGTATTCCATGGTATATATATGCCACATTTTCCCTGTCCAGTCTATCATTGATGGGCATTTGGGTTGCTTCCAAGTCTTTGCTATTGTAAACAGTGCTGCAATGAACATACATGTGCATGTGGCTTTATAATAGGATAATTTATAATCCTTTGGATATATACCCAGTAATGGGATTGCTGGGTCAAATGGAATTTCTATTTCTAGGTCCTTGAGGAATTGCCACACTGTTTTCCACAATGGTTGAAATAATTTACACTCCCACCAACAGTGTAAAAGTGTTCCTATTTCTCCAAATCCTCTCCAGCATCTATTGTCTGCAGATTTTTTAATGATCACCATTCTAACTGGTGTGAGATGGTATCTCAATGTAGTTTTGATTTGCATTTCTCTGATGACCAATCATGATGAGCATTTTTCCTATGTTTGTTGGCCTCATATATGTCTTCTTTTGAAAAGTGTCTGTTCATATCCATTGTCCACTTTTGAATGGTTTTATTTGTTTGTTTTCTTGTAAATCTGTTTTTGTTCTTTGTAAATTCTGGATATAATTCTTTTGTCAGATGGGTAGATTGCAAAAATTTTTTCCCATTCTGTTGGTTGCCAATTCACTCTAATGTGGAGTTTAATTAGATCCCATTTGTCTATTTTGGCTTTTGCTGCCAATGCTTTTGGTGTTTTAGTCATGAAGTCCTTGCCTATGCCTATGTCCTGAATGGTTTTGCCTAGGTTTCCTTCTAGGGTTTTTATGGTGTTAGCTCTTATGTTTAAGTATTTATTCCATTTGGAGTTAATCTTAGTGTAAGGTGTCAGGAAGGGGTCCAGTTTCTGCTTTCTGCACATGGCTAACCAGTTTTCCCAACACCATTTATTCAACAGGGAATTCTTTCCCCATTGCTTGTTTTTGTCAGGTTTGTCAAAGATCAGATGTTCATAGATGTGTGACATTGTCTCCGAGGCCTCTGTTCTGTTCCATTGGTCTATATCTCTGTTTTGGTACCAGTACCATGCTGTTTTGATTACTGTAGCCTTGTAGTATAGTTTGAAGTCAGGTAACGTGATGCCTCCCACTCTGTTCTTTTTGCTTAGAATTGACTTGGCTATGCGGGCTCTCTTTTGGTTCCATATGAAGTTTAAGGTGTTTTTTTTTTCCATTTCTGTGAAGGGGGTCATAGGTAGCTTTATGGGGGTAGCATTGAATCTCTAAATTACCCTGGGAAGTATGGCCATTTTCACAATATTGATTCTTCCTAACCATGAGCATGGAATGTTTTTCCATCTGTTTGTGTCCTCTCTTATTTCCTTGAGCAGTGGTTTGTAGTTCTCCTTGAAGAGGTCCTTTACATCATTTGTTAGTTGTA